CCCCAAAACCCCAAAACCCCAAAACCCCTTTGTGGAGAATTAAAGTTGTAAATATTTTTAATGGATCCTGCAAGAAATGGATACGGAGCGATAGTCCAAGATGACTCAGAGGAAAGGAGATTAGCTGTAAGTATATTTTTATGATCTTCTTCAAGTATCGAGCAAAAATGACATTGTAAAATGGGTTCAAAATTTTTTAATATTAAAGATACCTTTCACACCAAAATTTTTGGCGTATCCTTTCCCAATCTTTATATTTATGAACAGGGCTTTAACTTGGAGTAGTCTGGACTGCATTATGCCAACTTCAGGCTAATATTATTTGTGCTTTGTTTGGCACGAGACCCAGTTTTTGATATAAAATAATCCATCATTCTGATAAAAATTTTAATGTGTTTCATTAATACTCAAAAACAAAATACTATATAAAATAATATCAATTAGCTTCTGTCGCAGGCTCAAAAGAGACTTGTAGATATGATAAATGCCCTACTTTTACAAAAATAGTGCCTTTCATAAATTTAAGAAGCTTGGCTTGGATATATTATTGCACTTAAAGCCGATCAGTTTTGATCTTTTTGATTAAAATTGGATCAAATTTGCTAATCTATAATATGCTTAATATTCAATAACTTAAGATTCCCAGAGAAAATTAGAACTTCAGGCTTCCTGAATTCTTGGTTACTCTGGGTATAAACTTGGCATGGATCTTTAAAGATAAAACACCCTCTGCACTTTTTTAGATAAAAAATTCTGAAACATTCTAACCTTATTTCATAGCAAGAAGATTCTACAAGGATTGAAATAGTGATTCAGGAAACCCCTATTCGTGCGTATTGTAAATACTGATTAAAAACATACATGACAAGAGTTAAGACTGAATGTAACTGTAGCGAAGTTCCTCTGTGTTTATACATGTTATTGTTCTGCCCTTTCTGCTACTGCTGTCTTCCAAACCAATGAAGACAAACTAGGCGATCTTACCACGTCTGCTCTAACTGTGACCAAAGGTTATTCAGAGTCATAAACGGTATCAACTCTATATTCCAGTTTTTATGGCAAGCAATTTTGGTTGTTGAAGAAGAGATCGAAGAAATGTAAGCTATAACTTTTTAGATTTTAACTTTTTTAATAGAGAGGAGAGAAGACGTGAGGAAGATCAACTAGGAAATGCACCTGGTGGAGCATTTATTGGAGCATCAGAAGGAGCATCAGAAGGAGCTCCAGGAGGTGGTGCTGCAGAAAACTCAGCTACAACTCTTATTACACTCTCAGGAAGAGAGTAGTTGAGATACCAGACTAATAAGCTAAAACTTATGACAATGACAAGGTTATAAATCTTCTCGTCACCAAAAATAGTCCACCTTTGAAATCAAATATAATTTCTAAAGCAGGGGTTTTGGGGTTTTGGGGTTTTGGGG